AAACTGCAAAATATCAGTCTACAAGGCTTGGGGCTTCATCAGGAATTTAAAGTTTTATTAGTTTAAACATTTTATCCTCTATAATGGTAAGGTATGTCATTGAGTTATCATGAATTATCTCTAATAAAAAATATGTACAAAGTGAGCTAATACACTTTATATACTGTTGGAATTGCAACAATAAATTTGACATATTCTTTACTTCTGAGGCATATTCTTGAACAACAGGAGTGCACCTTATGCAAAGGTAAGACCTATACCCTAGGAAATATAGTATGAAAGTAAAACAAATATTACATCTAATCCATAATAGAAATAAAACAAAAGCTAATTAAAATTAGAAATGACTAAATACTAATGAAATGAAGAGTATTATTCTGACGTTAATAATAAAATATAAACAAAAAATCACCATAACAATTATATAATAACAGATCACATCATATTACTAAGAGCTATAGACACTAAAAGAAATAATTACTATAATAACATAAACAAAAAACAAAGAAATAATGTCTATAATCACCATCAACCCATCACAACCACGCACACATGACTCGTCCTTCACAATTCCTTTACAAGGCATATCACTGCTCTCAGCTGCTTACAAAAACCAAGGCAATAAAAAAGCAACACATAGAAGTCAACAGGACTCTTGGGAGATCTCTATTCTCTTGGTTGATGAAGACAAGAAAGCAATGCTAGGACAACTTGCAAAGTACAAGATTACTGCACACTGGTAACTGTAATGGCAGTGATGGTGATGATGATGTTGATGATGATGAAGAAAAATATATAAATATCATATATATATATAAATATTATATATATAATATATATGTATAAAATATATTTATACATATAAATATAAATATATAAAAAATTATATATATATAAATAATATATACATATATATAAATATATAAATATATAAAAAATTATATATATATAAATAATATATACATATATACATATATATAAATATATAAATATATATATACTTACATATTTATATATATATATATATATATATATATATATAAATAATATATACATATATATAAATATATAAATATATAAAAAATTATATATATATAAATAATATATACATATATACATATATATAAATATATAAATATATATATACTTACATATTTATATATATATATATATATATATATATATATATATATATATATATATATATATATATATATATATATACATATTTATATATATATATATATATATATATATATATATATATATATATATATATACATATTTATATATATATATATACATATTTATATATATATATATACATATTTATATATATATATATATACATATTTATATATATATATATATACATATTTATATATATATATATATACATATTTATATATATATATATATATACATATTTATATATATATATATATACATATTTATATATATATATATATATATATATATATATATATATATATAT